ACATGTTGACAGCATGAGGCTGATATAGCAATAAGATTGGGAATATTAAGACTATTGGGAAAGTAAGTCTTAACACAATGCTACACATACAGTATACGTGTTGTATTATTGGTGACTCCTGTGCATTTGTGTTCCACTGCAACAAAAACCTCAAACATCACGTTATAATAACAAGAAGGACATAACTTTGGTATTATAAACAGCCAGTCAGCATGTTTGTCTATCATTTTGATATTTTAATGCAAATTTAGATGCAGATTAAAAATTATTATCTTAAGAATTGTTCAGCCTCTCTGGGTTTTTAAAGTTTACGGGGCAAATGCGGTGTGAAATTTGTCAGAATGAAACAATTGGATACTCCTTAATCTGCTGACGGTCTCAGGACTGCTTCCATCACTGATTCCTGCGGTCCCTTTTATAGTTAGTGGTGTGACCCCATACTGCCCCCTCCCTAAACAGATGTTTTTGTGTTTTTGGGCTTTTCCCTTGTGTCTTTCATCTAATATTCCCCACCTCTGATTTCATGTGGGTCAGGCCAACTTACAGTAGCTGAGTTGTTTCCAGAGCTCGTGCCAGCAGAGCAACCCTGTGTGCATCCAGTGGTTACTGATAGACATCCAGACATCAGCACACAGCAGCCTTTAATCCCACACAGGGCCCGATTAATTTTAAAGCTGCTTTCAATCCTTAAGCTCACTTTCAGCACTCTGACACAGGCTACCACGCAGCCAGATATACAGATATGTATGTTTTTACTTTTAACAAATGCATTTGAGTTTTAACCTTTGAACCAAACCTTAGTCAAAATCCAAGAATCCATTTGAAATCTTAAACCTGGTGACCTATATCAACTATTGTCACCAGATCATTAGCTGGGGGTTTTAGTGCTCAATAATAAAAACAGGATCGTTTCCATCACTTGAGCTTCAGAACATTGTCTGAAGGGTAACTGAAGAGATGGATAAAGGCAGAAAAATAACTGTGTGAAGTATGGTCTGCGGTGCGTTTGATGACATATGCTTGTATAGCGGCTCTGACCTCTGACCTCACAGCAAGCTCAGAGTAGAAACATGTTTGACCTTTAGAATGTCCTCTACAGTGGAGCTAAGTGGCAACCATGTGACAGAATACACTTAAAATGGGAAAAGGTGCAGCGGCCCTTGAGTCTCAGAGGAGGTGGACTCTGTTTGAGCACCAAGCAAACATATTGAAAGTTGATGAACAATGTTTTCCTGATGTCGAATTTTTTATGTTCAGATGTCGGCCATATTATCTGCCCAGAGAATTGTTTTTGTTGCTCCTGTTTACATTACTTATGATGCAAATTCAAAAAATGCTACACAGGAATGTACTTCTGTTTTTGTTTTGTTGAAAATGGGCTACATTTCGTAGTGCATCCCTGTGTTACATAATGACAATAAATGATTCTTAAATCCTTGATTTTTAGTGTGTTCTAGTTGAGATGCACGAATATGTTCAAAACATCAGCCCAAAAAAATGTACAGGCTTAAACTAGGAATTAGAATTTTTCTGTTTCATACAGATTCCTGCCGACATACATTTTTCAAGCAGTTCATCTGAATAGTTAATCACATCCTCCACAGAGTTCTGTGTCATAATCCATAACTTATTGCATGTAAGACTAAATGTTACTGTGTTGCACAACTGAATTCATTACAATCATAATACAAATGTCAAGCGACTGAGGATCTAGAGCAACAACCTACACCACTCATTATTCTGAATTAGCTTCAGTCTCCTGTCTGCTGCTCTGCATACAGGCACATACACTGATACACTGATACACTACCATACCACTGTGACTGTGTTTCAGTGGTATGGCGGGTCGTCCTTCAATCAGAGGATCGGCGGGTCAATCCTCTGACTGAAGACATGATGACATGGAGTGTTAAAGTAGGTCCAACGACTAGAAAAAGATCGATACAAGAACAAGTCCATTTACCATCCATTCCATTTACCGTGGTGGAACAAGCCTGGTTTTATTCCAGCAAACAGCTCATTTCACTGATGTGCTGCTTATCTGAACAGAAAAGATGCAGACTCTTGATTCTGTGGAACACCTGCGCTGACTAAACAATCAGCCACGAGAACGTGAACTTCCTGTTTGTATGTTTAGTTTTCGTTATACAGCTGGAGCTGTGGAGCCCACGCTCTCACTTTCTCTGCCCTGTCAGCACTTGTGTGGCTGTGCCAGCGTCCACTCAGCACTGCAGCCCGCCAGCAGCTTCTGAAGCTTCATGTGGTGCGAGCTGTGATTTCAGTCCACCGTCAATCTGCCAGCAGACCTTAAAGTGTTGTATCAGGTGCCATAGGAACAGTAACGTAACTCAACTCCTATTTAAACCTTAAGGTTTCACTATGCTTAAGGTTTCGCCGCATGACAGTTTTACGTCGGCACACAGCAACACAGACAGTACCTTCACACCCGCACACACGCACCAAAAGTTCATCATTTGTCACAACTGTAAGTTCAAAATTAGTTGTGTAAGATTAACCTTAATAACATCTGCAACAGCTAACTTAATCAGACACATATTATTTAGTAATTCATTCCCACCTTGCTGTTCAAAGTTAACTCAGTGACCGGCTCATCAGTTGACAGCATGGAGCTTAAGAGCTAACTTTATCGGAGGTTACATTGTGCCACGTTAAAGTTCTACTCAGTAAAGTTAATATTAGGCTATCATGATGTGTTCAAATGTAATCTTGTGAAATGTAGTTTCTGGCGATAAATATATCCAGTTGTTTGAAGGAGATGTTTTCACAGCAATATGAAATAGATATTACAAAAGGTTTTATGATTATGAATCATAGAATTACACACGTGGACAAAATAGTTGGTACCCTTCCATTAAAGAAAGAAAAACCCACAATGGTCCCTGAAATAACTTGAAACTGACAAAAGTAATAATAAATAAAAATGTACTGAAAATGAACTAATGAAAATCAGACATTGCTTTTGAATTGTGGTTCAACAGAATCATTAAAAAAACAAACTAATGAAAATGGCCTGGACAAAAATGACGGTACCCGCAACTTAATATTTTGTTGCACAACCTTTTGAGGCAATCACTGCAATCAAGTGATTTCTGTAACTCTCAATGAGACTTCTGCACTTGTCGACAGGTATTGTGGCCCACTCCTCGTGAGCAAACGGCTCCAGCTGTCTCAGGTTTGAAGGGTGCCTCCTCCAGACTGCATGTTTCAGCTCCTTCCCCAGATGTTCAACAGGATTCAGATCAGGGCTCATAGAAGGCCACTTCAGAAGAGTCCAATGTTTTGCTCTGAGCCATTCTTGGGTGTTTTTAGCTGTGTTTTGGGTCATTATCCTGCAGAAGGCACCCTTCAAACAGTAAAATAAAATATTTGTAAATCAGTAAAATATTACTCTCTGAAATAAACTAAAGTAGAAATATGAAACAGCAGAAAATACAATCTTTCAAATGAAGTAGTATTTTACTTCCCACCACTGTCCAGCAGCTTTCATGAACAAGAGATCCAAAAACCCATTGTCGTTATCAGAACCTGGACTCCAGTTTAATATTACTGCCAATATGGATAACATTTTCCTAACAGCTGCATGAATCAGTGACCACCTCTCTTTTCTCCCACATTTCTGTCTGCTGAGTTGAGCTTTTGCAGCTGTCCACCTTCACTGTCATGATGTGGGTGTGTGCAGGCTTTATATAAATGTGAGCAGACGGCTCTCATATGGTCACATTAACCACAAGCCAGGTCCTGTTGCTGCTATGAGGGGATGATGGGTCATGACAAGCAGAAAAGCGTGTTTTAGCAGATGGTGAGAATCCCAGCAGTCCTGGGGTTACGTGTTGCCATTAGCACCAAGTAAAAGTGAGACAGTAGTTTTAAACCTTGTGGCAGTAGAGACACTAGTGTGATTGGACGAAGGCAATTGTATCCATTCATTCCACGTCTTTTAATTATATTTAGATGGGCTTTTTCAATGAAGGCAGTTGTTTTGACATTTATTTCAATTATGGATGTCATCCTTAGCTGGATGTGTTTCAATAAACACTTGTATGAAAGATTTGAGAAGGATAACGTGCACTCAAGACAACACAGGACAGGAGAGACGCTGCTGAAAGGATTTAGCTTTTGTGAAATATAGTATACAGGGAACATTTACCTGTATGACTGCTGTCTGCACAGTGGCTCCAGCTCATTGACTGGCCTGCTTGATACCAAAGAACCACTCAAAAACTGTGTTTCTTTCACACCATGCAGTTTGACACTAGAAGGCTGATGATCTGCTGAATCGGGAATGTTTGTCTGTGCTTACCTTGAATCTCAGTTTAATATGTGTGTGTACGAGCAGGACTTTGTGACATCACAAATGGTTTAAAAGCTGATCGTGGTCCAGTGTTTGGACTGTGCCACACAGATGTGATGCCTCCAGTACACACACACACACGCACACACACACACACACACACACACACACACACACACACACACACACACACACACACAAAAGTCTTTTCAGTGAAGTAGGAGACATGTTGTGCCCAGCAGCTAAACTCTTGAAACAACAACCAATTGGCATGTTCATGGATAATAATAATAACAACAACAACAACAACAACAACAATAATAGTAATAACAATAATCATAATAATAATCATTGTATGAATGGGTATAAATGTTAGTTAGTCCTGATGGGCAGGTGACACCTTGCATGGTAGCCCCCGTCATCAGTGTATGAATGAGCGTGAATGGGTGAATGCTTTAACACATGTAGTGTTAAAGCACTTTGAGTGGTCGGAAGACTAGAAAAGCACTAAACAAGTACATCCATTTACCCTTCACCATAATAATAATAATAATGTCAGTAAAAGGCTCATTTCCACCTGGTATGAACATGTTCTTGGTTTGTCTGATCTGGATTAGCTTGTACACAGGGCTGTTCTGTTGTTTTGTTTTTTAAATGTATTTTGTCCTCTATCGCCACAGCTGTTACCATGACAACAGACGAGGCGGAGAGTCACCAGAAGAAGCCGAGGCAGCAGGAGGAAGCGGGCCAGGACGCCAGACCGCCCTCACCGGAGAAGGAGCAGCTCCGGCCTCGCAACCGCAACTCTGCTGGTCGAGGCCTCTCCCGCCTCTTCTCCTCCTTCCTGAAGAGGCGCTCGCAGTGTGAGAGTGAGGCGGGAGAGAAGGACGGCAAGGAAGAAGAAGAAGCTAAAGCCCCCATCGCTGACCCTGAACCTGAACTGAGGACCGAGGGAGAGGTGGCCCTGGACCAGCACTCGGTGAGCAGTGCTGAGGCTCAGGTCAGTCTACAGTACATCTGAAGCCCTCTTCACACATCTTTCTGTTAGATGAATGACTTCTTATCATTCATTAGACATTGCTTACTTATGCTTTCATCAGACATGAGAGAGAGAGAGACAGTTTCTGTTCTCTCTCAGGCTGCATCACTGAGGAGGCTCGCCCCCCTCTTCTCACAGTGAAGTCATTATTTGACTTTATTAGAGAATAAGCATTGAATGACAGGACGTTTCATTTGTATTTGCTGTTACAGTGTATGTAAAGTGTTTCGCTATACTATTCATCAATACAGTTGGCAAGAATGATAGATTCAAAATATAGTGAGAGATTATTGTTCAGAACATCCTAAAAGTTTGTTGTATATAATACAACCGATTGAATAGACTTATGTGATCTGAAAACCTGCAGCAGAGTGGCTACACAGGCTGCGTAGTAAAAAGACTAAATATATTATCCACGTGAATCGTGTAGATCCGGTTTTGGGGGGGTCAACTGGCCAGCCAGCGTTTCTCAGATTGGAGTGAGACGAGGAGAAAAGCTGATGTCCTGATCTTCACAATAGAACATCTTTGATGTGACGTGTCGAGTATTGGCCAATCAGCGTTAAGATGTCTACACCGTCTTTCCCTCCGTTAAAGTTTAAATTACATTATGTTCCGTTACAGTTCAGACTTGCTGGGTTAAGGCTGACAGCCACTGCATGCGGAACTTTTAACGTTCGTCAGTATCGCGATTTACGAGGTAAAAACATAACGTGATGAAACATGCAGCCCCCCCGTGTTCCGGTTCAGTTCACGCGGTCACTCATTAACGTTAAACTGGAACACCCGCGGATCTGGTTGCTATGAAGGCAAATCACTGTCAAAATCCGAGAGCGCAAATGAGATCCATGCACGCGCGAAAATCAAACAGCCGTGCACGTATTTTACTTTGACGAGTGCTTTTACATCATGAGCAGAATTCACTCTCGCGCGAGCAAAAGTCGCTTGCGAAGCTTTAACCTTTAACTGAATAATAAATTAGTTTTTTTGCTTAAAGTAAATGTCTTATCACTTAATGGTATTCTCAGAGTAAACCAGAATGCTACATTTTAAAGCTCATATTTAAAATACCGTTAACGAGTGTTACAGGAACGCCAAACATGACATATCATTGCTAAGATTACAATTCAGGCACACATATGCATGTATGGCAGTTCAACTCGATTGTAAACAGATAGATGTGTTGTTTATTGGGTTTTGCATGAACATACAATTGCCTCATCAGAGCATTAATATAAATAAGTAAAGAGTAAATATTCCCTTCATACAAAGACAAAAACATAAAAAGTGACAACAGATTGATGTGTTTAGTGGTAAAACTGCGGATGTCAAGACTAAATGTTTCACAGGAACACACATTTTTAAGTGTGTAGACTGCTTTGTAATAAAGTGTCTTGTCAGGCTGTCCAGGTAGAGAACAAAGAAGCTGAAGAGGAGGAGGGTGGAAAGGACAAAGACAACGACAAGGAGAAAATAGAGGAGGCTGCCCTGGAGAAGGAGGATAAGGACAAGGAGAAGGAGGAGGAGAAGGAGTCTGGCCCTGAAGGAGGCAGTCAGAGAGAGGAGGAGGAGAAGATGACAGAGGAGGAGTCCAAAGCTCCCAGAGCTCCACACCGACCCAAGACCATGCAGATCAGAGTCACCCTGCTGGATGACACTCTCTATGAGTGTGAGCTGGATGTAAGAGTTTTTTCTATCTTTATTTTTTCATACATTATGCACACAAGTAAAATTTCAAATGGTTAAATGATTTCATTTTAATTTATGCAGCCACAGGTTTTCATTGAAGGTATCAGAGCAAATCAATTTCATAGTATTAGCATGTCATAAATATGGTCATACACAGGTCATATACAGCATCCAGTTTTACACCAGGTTCATTTTCATGTACGGTTCAGTTTTATTTGGGCTGCAGCATATGATTCATTTTATTATAACTGCTCACACTGGGTAAGCTAGAATCCAAAAATCTTTCCCCTTTGTTTTTTGATAATCACTTAAAATGATTTAGCAATTCCTAAAAATGCTAAATTGATTAACATTTTGTCAACTGGCTAATAAACGAATCGATTTCTGGAGTAATGTTTTGTGCAAAAATGCCACATTTCCTGATTCCAGCTTCTGAAATGTGAGAACTTTCTCCTCTTCTTGTCATGTAAGGGAATATCTTTGGCTTCTGGACTGTTGTTCTGACGACAAACAAGACATTTGAAAACAGTACCTTGGATTCTGGGAAACTGCATTGATTTATGATTTTGTAACGTTTCATAGAATAAACGAAAGAAAATAATCAGCACATTAATCAATAATGAAAGAAATCGCTAAGTGCGGCCCTGTTATACACAAATATTGCATAAAAACTGCTAACCAGAGACTTGAAGATTTTTTTTATGAAAATCACAAGCTTCAAAGTAGCAGTCTTCACATCCACTGGACAGCTTGATTAAATTGTTCTTTAAACTCAACAAGACTATATACACCCATGCCTTACCTTGCGGCAGCTAATACCACTTCCTTACCGAGGTTCTGATAGATGGCAACCCAAAAGGAACTGGAAAACACCCAGTGTCTAACTCAGACTCTCTTTAACTAACTTCAGGCTCACCCCCATTTGTGGCATGTCCAATGTTCTCCGACCAACCAAGCAGCACCTGTCTATTTTCAGAGGTGACAAAATGGCTCTCTGGAACTATTTGTCCTGCAGCACCAAATCAACATGACTCTCTCTTCGAGTGGTAATGCCTCTAAATGGCTACAAGTCATCCTTCGGGTTCTGACTAAATCAGTTCACTCTCCAAACCCAAAACATGATCAAATGGACTAGGAGAAGGTTTCATATACAGGATGAAATCATTTAGTGGGTGGTGGATGAACCTAAGAAATTGGACTTGGGAGACCTCCACTGGTCCCTACACTAACCATTCATGGATTACTTCAGCTTCTGGTTCAAGAAAGAAAGGGGTAACAACACACAACCATATCTTCACAAATACTGTGACAATTATCTCCATCCAACCATTATCCCCAGGTCCCTCTAGACCCATATCAATAGAATACTCAGCTTGTCTCCTCCACTGGACAAAGACACACAAAGCTAACACAAAGGCACCCAATTCCAACATTTCCTCATTATCTTTTATCTTGGAAACATTGCCTCAATGGAACACCTCCATTCTTGATCACAACCTAAAAACCATCCTGCAATCAGCAAAGGCCACCTTCCTACATGCAGAGATTTACAACAACCAAATAATCCTGACTCTTTCCACCATATCCCCGTCTCAAACGGGAATCCTTCTATACAGAATCAGATGACATACATTGGACGGCAAGCACTGCAACGGAAATGTAAAACCACTGGAAAGTTTGTTTAGGCCACCTACAAACCCAAATCCCAACGGATGACCAATCAGTATTAAATATCTCCTCAAGCATTTAACTAACCTCAGTGCAACACCAATTAGTGATGAGGAGTTTCTCCTTCATTCCTACAGCTACCTCTGTTAAGAATCGCATAAAATCACTGACAGCACAGCTTTCCTTCTCTGTCTGGTATCACTGACACCTAAAGCTCTGCAACGTTTTCATGAACACCAATCTGATAGACCTCCCCCTTTTCGTCCACAATCTACTCAGGAATTATTTTCTGCAGATCTCCTGGAGGAACTTCTTGTCTGATTCTAAATGGACCACCACTTGAAATTTTAAACAGGAGAATAGTGAACTATTAGAGCTCAAACAACAAGCCTTGATGGATCTTCAACAGAATACCTCCATTGTCATAAAACCAGCAGTCAAAGATGGTTTAATGTTTAGTTGGAAAGAAAGACTCCTTGTGATTCCAGTATGTCTCAGGGTTTTGGGTTCTCTCCTCAGCTGCCTGACAGCTGTCAAACAGTCCAGTAGGACAGCGACCGCTCCCCTGAGCCTCTGTGCTGTTTTCACCATCTGCTCGGTCATGTTCAGCACATTACTGAATACATTGTCCTTTATGTAAATATCAAGTTGTAATGATTCAGTGTCTTGTTCTCTGAATGCATGTGTGTGTCAGAAACACGCAAAAGGTCAGGAGCTCTTCATGAAGGTCTGTGACCACCTCAACCTGCTGGAGAAAGACTACTATGGCCTGGTCATCTTTGAGATGGCCACCATGAAGGTGAGCATCATTGGGTAGTATTCCAACAATCCCAATCAGAAGAGGGCAGCTCTTTATATGTAAATGGCGTTAATGGTTAGAGTAACCTGTGGCCCTCAGTGTTGAATAGAATAATCTGAGCAGTGTTTGATGATATCATGCTACATCCTTCATTATTTTGACCAGACTTGGATGGACCTAACCAAGGAGATCCGCAGGCAGGTACAAGGTGAGCGGAACGTTACCCACAAATGCATCATCTGTTCTCATTCACATGCTTCTAATCCATGTTTACAGTTCTTTCATCAAACTCTCCTTTTCTTTCTCAAGGTACCAACTATAATTTCACCTTTAATGTGAAATTCTATCCACCAGACCCAGCCCAACTGTCTGAAGACATAACAAGGTACTACATGGGTCCCTGTGGTTTTTGTCAATTACTACATGCAAACATCAGTTTATTGTATCAAATGCCGGATTCATTTCTCCAGATGAGAGGATAAGGATAAGCTATGAAAACATTACATGGCGTATTCAGAGATTTCTGTGATTTTTAAGGATAATGATGCAGGGGTCCGATCATATAATTAACAAACCAAGACAGTAAGTGCCATTAAAACAATCGATGAACTATGATGCAAAGCTAATATTTATTTTTTCTCAAAATTTGACCCTTGTTTAAAATAAAAAGTTCCCACGTTGGTGTTAAAACTCTGGAAGTCAGCAACAGTGGCTCTAGCTTGCTGGGCATGAGCTGAAACACATGTTGGACATGTTCCTCCAAGCTGATTGAATACAAGATCACAATGAAGCCTTTTCAATCAAACATATTGTATTACAATATTATGAATCTATAGTCCCATACAGAGTCCATATTATCCATTTTTGTGCATTGCAGGTATTACCTGTGTCTCCAGCTGCGGAAGGACATCCTGCAGGGCCGCCTTCCCTGCTCCTTTGTCACCCTGTCCCTGCTGGGCTCCTACGCCCTGCAGTCGGAGCTGGGCGAGTACGACCCTGAGGTTCACAGCAACGAATACACTAAGGATATGAAAATGGCCCAGGGTCAGACCAAGGAGCTGGAAGACAAAATGATGGAGCTTCACCGCACATACAGGTCAGAACTCTGCCTCGGTGTTCCATATTCTTGACCCAATCCACCAATTAAGTGGATTCGTAAAACAATTATGATACAAGTCAAACTCTGTATTCAAAATGTTACATAAGTAAAAGTACATAACTATTGTCTACAAAGTGCACTTAAGTATCGAGAATAAAAGTACTGATGATGATGGTGCACCTGCCTCTAAAGTATTTAAAGTCGTATGAATGAAATTACTAAGTGATAATGAAGAATATGTACTAAATTATAGCGCTAGAGTAAATACACCTCACTTTAACTTTTGAGTACTCCACTCAACAGAACCAACTCCAATAATGTATTATGTATGAACTACACTTGAACTCTATTACAAGGGAAGATGAGGGGAAGATACACTTTCCCTGCTCTTCTAAAAAAGCACTTCTTTGAGTGATTCAATAAAATCTTCCATGTGGTGTTGTGGCAGGTCAATGAGTCCTGCCCAGGCAGACCTGATGTTCCTGGAGAATGCCAAGAAACTCTCCATGTACGGAGTGGACCTCCACCAGGCCAAGGTGAGCACAGGATGTAGGATGTAGGTTTGCATATGATTGGTAATGTCCCTGTCAATATTTTGAGTGTAGTTCGATTTTATATTTTAATTGACTTATATATTTTACAATTTAAAGGTTCTTATGGAATAGCTATGGCTCACAAGCAAAAAAAAGACTGCTGGTATGATAAAGTGGATCCAGCCTGCATTTTATCAGAGGTGGTGAACAATTGTGTCGACAATAAGACACACAATAGTGAGATTTATGTCTGATCACAAGGGTTTTAGAGAGCAGGTAGGCTTTTTCTTGAAATTGCATGACTATGTGTGCTTAGAGTTTTGAACATAATCTGCCTGATATGAGCTATAAAAGTACATGAGTTCAAATGAATTCATGTATCATGGAGGTGAATAGATGCCACATTAACATTTAAAGAGGTTCCTTCCCAAACAAAAGACAAAAGCAGAAGGAAGAGTCAATCTTGTGTGCTGAAGAAGAGAAGGAGATAAGTTGATCTGGACAATAGATATTTGAAAGCAATCCAGCATGCCTGAGAGCCTTACTGAGCTTAGTGTTTGCCTTTACATAAATATAGACATTACACCATAAATGGATGCAGAAAACTTCCCCAGAATGAAAGTTTGACATCAATGTTTCCTGGGGGAGGACCTCCAGACCCCCCACTTTCTATATGTCCCCACCAACCTACGCCCTATTAGTTGCTAAATGCTTGACAAAGTGCATAGTAAGTAGTGAGGGGCGAGTAGTCAGGTGAAGGGATGACTGTGGCTCAGTGGTAGAGCAGGGTCATCCTTCAATCAGAGGATCGGCAGTTCGATCCCCAGCTCCACTAGTCCATGTTGATGTGTCCTTGGGCAAGACACTTGAATGAATGGGAAACAATGGATGTAAATGGGTGAATAAACATGTAGTGTTTGAGCGCTTTGAGTGGTTGGAATACTAGAAAAGCGCTGTACAAGTACAGTCCATTTACTATAGCAGGTCATCCTTTAGATCCAAGTATCCGTCATCGATCAAATAGAAGACACAATCCACTTGATCAGCCTTTCAATTCTCCGTCACAACAAGCAGCATAGATGTAAAAAGAAGAAATACATATCATGTGTTTGCTGCTTTGTCTGTTGGTATTGTAATGTCATGCATCAGAGAAGCATGCATGCTTGGCCTGAAAAGCAAGGAGACATGTGACTCGTGAGGCTTCACAGCTGAAATCAGGTCAATCTGTTTATGTCAGAACTGGGTTTTAACCCGCTATGGAGCTACGGAATATACTGCCCCTCTGTGGATGATGGTGAGCAGTACAAGGAAGCTGCATCATTAAACAACTGCTGAAGATTAACATGGATTATCATTTGTAGTAGTACATACTATACAGTAGTAAACATTTCAAACGCATGGTGTGTACTGGTCACCACTATTAGAAGCACTTTGCGGGAGTCTTAGAATAAACCGTTCACACGTAAAATGTGTGTAAAAATTACAATGTCATCATTCGTCAGGGCGGGGCCTGTTGCAAAGCCAGACTTTATTAGTATTTACAATTAATTGGAAAAGCAATAACATGATTATGTTTAAGCTAAATTTGGTTTTGATAGAATTTTATAGAACCTAAATCCTGTATTGAATCAGCTTACAGAAAATCTTCTTCGAGCCTTATCAAATCAACTTACAACATTTGCAAGTGTCAAAACTAAAGTTAAGTTGTAAATAGCACCAACTCAATGATTCTCTTCAGATCTGTGATCACTTTTAGTTGGCTGATAAGGCAGAAACCTGGAAGTGAGAATGCCTGAAGATAAGAAATCTGTATCTGATGAATTGAAATGAAGGGGCTGGATACTGAACGGTTTAGTTGATGAGCTCCAAATAGTGTTATGATCTGCATAAAAACAGACCAGGAACCAAGAAAGAAGAGGAGCCTTTGTTGCCTTTTAGTTCTGGTGCAGTTCATTTCACAAACAAACCCAGAAATAAGCATGACGTCATATGGACTGATTGGTTACTCATTCATTGGAAAGTTTTGGTGACATCATCCAGCATCATCAGCACTACAGGGACAGGTCATGCTGCACTTTAACTGATGTGTTTAATTATCTAAGAGCTCAAGAAAAAATCCTGAATTATGAGAATTATTAGTGCAGACTGGACCTGTACCACACCAGACTCACCTTTTTAGGTGGTCTCGGTCCAATTCTTTGGTCCATACCAGAGTTTGATGGACAGCCAAAATGAACAGAATCAAACGGGCCAACCCACCACAGGGTCTCTAAAAACAAGAGATGGTGTGAACCTAAAATCACATTTACTATCACAAAATGAAGTGGTTGGTGTACTTTGCTTTTACACCACAAAGGCACTGCACCAGTCTTCATGGACCTGGCTGAAGGAGTCAAACCAAACAGCTTAGGTGTGAACCTCCCATGTTGCAAGGTAACGCATGATTTGACACATGTTAATTGAAGCCGATAGCACACGCTAAATCATGATATAGACAGAAAGAGAGGAGCCAGTATGTGCTGATCCAGTGAGGAGATGTGATAAAACTCACGTCAACCTGCAATGACGTACGTCGCCCTTTACACAGCACTCTGCACCATCACGATCAAATCATCATTAGGAGGAATGGTGGTTGTCTCTCCAACAGACTGAGGCTGAAGAAGCCTTGTGGTGGAACTCACCTTCAGAAACTCAAGATGTTACTTTATGTTTGTTGTTCATTCCAGGCTCCCTCAGAAGGTCTTGGCTTTCTGAATTGTCTGGTTAATGGGAATCTTTCTGTCTCCCTGGGTGTCTCTGTTAGGATCTGGATGGTGTTGACATCATGCTGGGGGTTTGCTCCAGTGGTCTGATGGTTTACAAAGATAAACTGAGGATCAACCGTTTCCCCTGGCCCAAAGTCCTCAAGGTCTCCTACAAACGCAGCAGCTTCTTCATCAAAATAAGACCGTCAGAGGTACAGGCTGTTTTCATACCCATCCACCTGTAAAATCTGTTGTTCATTATTTATTTATCATTGAACTCACCTTAACCATGACACCATGAACATCATTTCATCAGTCATCTTTTTAGCGGGTTTATTTCTCTTGTTTCAACAGGTGGAACATTATGAGAGTGCAATTGGCTTCAAACTACCCAATTACAAGGCGGCCAAGAAGCTGTGGAAAGTGTGTGTGGAACATCACACCTTCTTCAGGTATTCTTGAAGTCACTTTGTTATCGTGCCTGTGCAACGTTTAAGTGTGGACATTTCGCTAAATATGCTTGTTCGCTGCCTGACCCAGAGTCAGATCGGAAGATCAGTATCAGTGATCTTTGTCTGCAGGCTGACTTCCACTGAGATGGCCACCACTCCCAGGACGTTCCTGGCGTTGGGCTCTAAGTTTCGCTACAGCGGTCGGACTCAGGCTGAGACCAGACAGGCAAGCTCTCTGATCGACAGACCAGCTCCTCTGTTCCAGCGCTCCTCTAGCAAGAGGAACTCTCGCAGCTTGGATGGAGGTACACTGTTGCACCTGCTGTAGGAGTGTGTGTGTGTGTGTGTGTGTGTGTGTGTGGGGGGGGGGGGGGGGGGGGGGGGGGGTTGTGCAGTAAGAGAGATAGAAATACGCTCATGGCCTGAGGCCTTCAGATTCGATAGAATATACCTCCTAGGTTCAGAACATTTCTGTAAATGAGTTACAGTTACAGTATAGGCTATGGAACTACATGTGTGTGGTGTGTGCATCTCTGTCGGGCTTTACTTGTTTGCCTTCATGAAAGTGTGATTGCATGAGCATATTAGCCCAGAGCAAGTGGTTCTCATGGCTTCTTTTCATTTGCTCTGATTCACGTGTCTTTGACCTAAAGAGAAAACCATGAGCCATTACAGCATGATATCAGGCCTTCATTCTAGAGCCCTGGCTTCAAAGTTGTAGTTTTTACTGTTTTGTATCACATTGAGTCATTTTCTCATGTTTGTTTTGGGCTATTTTCCTAGTTTCCAAGCGGGACATCGCTGCTGTATTAGGGAGCACTGCAAGCCAACTTAGCAAATGTATACAACTAGAGCGCTTGTGTGTTGATATCTGAATGTCGGAAAGAGTGTGTGTGTGTGTGTGTGTGTGTGTGTTTGTGTGCATGTGTACATTATGATAAACAAAATAATTCAAAATAGTTTTTTGAAATTTAAAAACAGCATCATATCAAAAAGTGCCATTTAAAGGGTTAACATTTTGAAAAGGAATGACTATATGGTATTTATGATCAGAACTAAAGTTGGTTAAAAAATACTAAATGAAAGTGAAAAATAAGATTAATATATAGTACTAAAAATAGCAATGCATCAAAATGAATGTTGCTGCTAATCATTGACATATCCCAGAGTGTGAAAATACCTGTGATAACAGTGAACATGGAGCTTCTGGTGGTGCTAGTTAAAAGGTCAGGGGATCACCAAAGTTATTAGGATTCATCCTTTGGGCAACATGAATATGAATGAATACCTCCACAGGACTTCATTGCAATCCAACCAAAGTGTCAGACTGCCATCCCTTCAGCTCCGTCACTGACACTGCTCTAACCAGCCATTCATCCAGAACAACAGCTACTGACTTGATTACCATGAAATTTGGCATCACTTTCCATGATCCCACAGGAGGTTTTGTTGAGCCTTTACCTCTCCACTTGGCGGTGTAGATAAGATATTTTATAATCTGTTGAATTTTATCTTGTAAATGCCTTCAGAGTTAATCAACACATTCATGCACTCAAGCAGATTTACATTAATGGCCTCACATCTGGTGCCACCTATTATTATACGTTGCTGTTTGGCTCATGCTAGTCACTGTGTGCAGGTGTAAAGCACTGCTGCCCATCAGCTTTACTACAGCTCAGTCTGATATATTACACAATATCAGTCTTGAATGATGCTTAAAAAAATGTAAGTCTTCATGAAAGAAGTAAATAACACTTACATATTTAGTTAACAGATTGACAGCACGGTTTTGTCTTTAGAGATCAATGAAACAGGACAGCATAAGTCCTATTTTCACTGAAATCACTCTAACTTGTCATAAAGTGATAAATAATCTTCCCGTGTGTGAGTGTCTACCCTAACACTATGTGTGTTTTCACAGCCTCAGTATGTTTCAAAACCAAGCCCCAAAAAACCCTCCCCCCACAATTGCCTGACATCACAATGTGGGGGTTGCATCCTAAAGCTGCCAATGTGCTTCATTTGAACTGTGTGTCAGGTGGCCGAACATCTTTAGAAACCCCCTCCTTCCATATCTTTCTGATGTTGGGGGAGATGTGTCTGACCATTTCTGTAACTTTTTGAAACCAACAATCTGATATTCATACTTAGGCCTACTTCATGCAATGATTGGTCACTTTATGTTTACGACTAAGTTCAACACCATGAATGCTTTCAGAATCAGAATCAGAATCAGAATCAGCTTTATTGGCCATGTATGCTTAGGCATACATGGAATTTGTCTCTGGTTTCCACTCCGCTCTCAATGTACAAACACTATTTTACAATAAACAAGAAAAAATATATAAGAATAAAAAAAGGATGTAGGTATAAACATTTAACAGCTATATACAACATAAGTATAAATATATATCCCAAAAAAAGTGTATATATATATATATATATACACACACGTGAACATAAACCTACAAACAATGGCAATGGAATTGAGGTGATAGCGCAAGTGGTGGTAATAGTGCAAACAGAGGTAATATGCAGTATGACTTATTAATTGTTCATCAGAGTGACGGCCAGTGGAAAGAAGCTGTTCCTGTATCTGGTGGTTTTGGCGTACAGAGCTCTGTAGCGCCTACCAGAGGGGAGGAGTTGGAACAGCTTGAGTCCAGGCTGTGACGGGTCTGCAGTGATCTTTCCAGCCCGTTTCCTGACTCTGGAGGTGAAACCAGGATGGAGGGCAGGCTAGAACCAATGATTCTCTCTGCAGACCTGAGAGACTAATTGAAAATGTAATTTGCATATATTAGCATTGCTAGGTGTGCAGAGGTTAGAAAGTAGGCAGGATTTGAACTTCTCTCTCTCGCTCTTTTTTCATTCTTTACACTACTATCGTCATTTTTCAGAGTGTAACACCACAATCTCTTGGACAGAGATCTGTGTGGAAGTGTGCAAGGTTATCCTCAGATAGAAACAGTTCTGCTTTGGTCAAATGAGACTTTGTACTAATCAGTTTGTTTCAAACATACCCCAGGCTATGTAGTCTGTTGAAACAGACACACTTATGAACAACGTCTATTCTGGCTGTATGCAGTCTTATACTCCAGCTCTGTCACGCATATCTTTACAGCCACACAAACAGTGGGAGAGAAATGATCGCACTGTGTTGTTTTAATAAAATAGACAGTCAACACTTTGTTGTCATATACCACAGGACAGGAATCCCTTGGGCATGGGTCAAACATCTAAATCCCACATGGGAAAAGCAGACTTCGCCAGTTACAATTAAAGCTATTGAATGTGAAAAAATAAGATCAGATGAGCCTTTAGTGATCTCCAAAGGGGAAATTCAGGTGTTGCAGCAACGCAAAAGCAGAAATAATTTCAGATAAATAGAGTAGTAAATAGTAATAATAATAGAGGTAAATACAATAGAAGTATAGAAACTATAAAAGAGCAAGTAAAGCCAGAGATAGAAGGTAAAGTGACAGCGGTCTGGTTAATGCTGGCTTTTCAAAGAGATCTCTGCTTTATATAGTCTGATGGCTGTGAGCACAAACAAGAGCCTGAAGCTTGTTTTGCACCTGGGTGGGTTGATGAGGTGACAGAAAAAGCTGCCCATCTGCCTCGTCTCGTCATGGAGAGGGTGACAGAGGTTATCCACTGACTGCCACTGACGCTTGTTGAGCCTGCTGCCCTCACCAGTTGTGACGATACCACCCCAGCACACCACAGCAAGGAACAGTGCAATACTGTCCATACACAATGTCACCATTGGGTGTGATCTAATAAGGCTTTAGGTTACTTGTATGACATAGCAAAGGGAAATCATTTTGACTACAGGGCTGACTTTGGCATGTGTACAAATGGGAATAGGTTTAACAATCTGCTATTTCTCTTCTCCATTTGCTGGAGATGTGAACTGATCGGGACCTTGTTCTAGCTGCTGTGTGTGCTACAGAATTGGCTGTTTTATTAAACTGAATACAATTTTGCTTCTCATTGGAGTCCAATCCCACACCCTACTCCTCTGCTTCATTTCCAGTAAGAGCACTCTCTGCGTGAAATAACTCAATGCTGCCATGGAGGGTAATGAGCTGAACTTTGGCAGTAGGAGCAGTTGTGTAGTACAACTCTGTATATGTGGGGCTTTTAGGTTGGGGGACTCAAGTGACTGTTTGACACCATCTCTTTGCTCTTGGCTTTTCTAGTCCAATAAAGAAATTGTGTTCCTGCCATTAGCTCCCCACATTTTTATTAAATGATGTTTGATGGTCTTTCCAAACTTTATTGGAGGGTGCAGAAAATGAACACAGAAAAGGGCAGACCAAGAACATGCTGGATGGGATTCTACAGCCCATCTAGCCTGGGAACTTCTCGGGTCTACCATATACAGGCAGTGCAGGAGGACGTGGCTGGGGAGAAGGGCGACTGGGCAACAGCAGCCCAGATCCGGATAAGTGAATTAGTGAATGAATTGATGAATGTATGGACATTATTACTATATCAGTTTGACACCTCATGTTTAGAGTTGAATGAAATCTTAATGCAGACAATAGAGGGCATGCTGGAAACTGGGCCTAACATACATGAAAGTCAGAGTTATATATAATTAGATATAATTAAAGTTATTTAGAAAAAGTCAAAAAAAAAGAAAGTCCAGAAGCTGCAGATACCACAATAATACATGACATCCTTTCCTTGTGTTTCTTAAAGTGAGCTGTCTTTCCTCTCTGTCCAATCCAGCCATGGCATCCACTCCCGACAATAAATCCACTCGTCCAGTCAGCGCCCCCGTTATGTCACCGGTGTCTCCTGGGGAGGCAGCTCCCTCAACACTGCTACCCACCCTGCTTCGCTCTGACCACCACCACTCTACACCCAGAGGCCATCGCTCTGCAGACAGGAAAGTAGAAGTGAAGGCAGAGGGTCAGCCAGCAGAGTACACCAAGAGACACAGCCCCAGACCAGAGTGCACTCCAGAAATCAAGGTAGTGGACACAGTCCTTTACGTCACCAGTTTTTATTCTGTTCATTATTGAAGAAAAAAGGGAGGTTACAGGGCATCTATAACCAGAGATCAGGGCCGGGGCCAGACAGAAGAGGTTATTAATAATGAAATACAGTCTTTTTCCCACTGGTCAAATTAGAAATGAAGTCATGAAAATACACAACTGTCCCATTTATGCACACTGTATGAGTGCCATATAGTTTACGGTAAACATTTAAGGAGGGCACCTGGCCACCATTGAGGGATTGAGTTTGTTAGACAGTTAATTCAAACAAGTACTCATAGATCCATACTCAGAGCCACTGACTCAGGCATGAATATATGGTGAGATGAAATGTATGCTACTGTATGCAAAAAGTTAAATATTGAGTTATACAATAATAAGAAAGCAAAAAGGCCACTTGACTTGTAAGGTCACTGTTTTCACAATTGTAATTTGCCTTCCTCCACAGGTGGAAAGTTTTTAAAAACATTGTTTCATTCTTCCTGACTGCCAGAGACAGTGCTAAACTCTGGATGTTATCCATCTCGCCATGCGCAGGTCGAGTATTTAATATAAATAAATTCACTTATGACCTAGGATGACGTAGGGCAGTCCCGTCCCAGATAAGCCCACGTCTTCATATTTATCCCTTGTAGCTTCTCGCAGGTAACCCGCGAATGCAGGTTGAAACTAAAAGCTTTAAAAAAAGCAGATAACCAGTGTCTCTTCACGAGCTAGGTTTGAGTTACGGTTTCATCCTCCAAGGGCTGCAATTAGGCAACCATGTCTACACTCGTATCTCTTAGCTGACAGACTGGTGATACGCTGGTGCTCTCAGCACCTGACATTACAGAAAGGGTAAGGCAGGTGTCTTCGCTAACTCTGAAGCTCGGCTAGAAAAGTACAAATTCTCTATTGTTGCTTCAAGTAAGTTCATCTTTTAAAAGGAGCCTGTTTTCAGGTTTCTTCTAAACTTTTTGCAGTGATTGTCAAGCCTTGCTTCAGAATTACAATTGCTGATAGTCGCCGTATATTTGTTTTTTCCCCCTTAGCGGGAGACAAGTTATTTTTTGTTGTTAATTCATTGCTCCCTGACGATTGCTTTTGCTTCGTTCCTGACTGGCTTCAGAGTTTGATTGACAGATGGTTCATCAAATCACCTGCCTCACACAGTTTCCGATGCCAGCTTCTCAGATGGTTCAGTATACAAACCACCTGGTGGGTCAGGTAAACCTAGGGGTACCACAGACTTGAAAAAAGGCCAAGAAAATGGACTGTTTGGCAGATAAAGATGACACACCTCCAAGGATTGCGAAGCTACTTGTTTTGTGCTGTCCACTCAGCTATGCATTGAGGAGATCCACAAATGCACAAGATGGATTACATCCAGTGTTAAGTGCAGCCTCTGGCGGTCATCCAGAATACATAGAACCGGAGTTGCATATGTAGGCCTTGTTTCATTGCTACAGGTTTTAACACCTTTCAATCCTCCAAACTGTACATATCCCTTTTTTTTTAGCAAGTAAAAACTAATGGCCCGCCCTAAAGGAATTTTTCCACACATTTTTTTTTGCTTTGCAAAAGAATTTTGAACTAGTGGTTACATGGAAGCTAATATACCTCACTGTACAGTATGACGTGTGCTGGTACAGAGAAATGCGTCACACAGTGTACAAGAGGAACATATATAATTTAGCGGTAAGTGTAGCTGGTATCGATGAAAAGGACAATCTCATCTCTTTATTTATTTTAACAACATTGTGCTGAATCAAAAGCCCAACGTTTTAACGTGTGTCTTCATCAGGGGCCCTAATAAATAGAGATAGATGAATTGAACAAGTCAATGTGCGGTGCACCTCCTTCGACCAAGAGTTCCAAGGTTACCAGCACCCGGTTTGATGGGGTTGAGGTGTTTCTTTATTTTAAAATGAACATTTTAGCTCTTAATGGAAACAGAATTGTTCTGTGGAATGTTTATTCCTGGTCGTGCCTGGAATTGATCCTGATGTGTGAGCTTTGTCTGTACTACCAGTCAGTGGCCAGGAGAGAGCGGAGGCACTCGCCCTCTGTGACCACCGCCAATGGAGAGAGAGAGAAAAAGAGCCAGGTTTGTTTGCTTGACGCATGATCAAACTGAACCAGAGTTGAACCACCTGAAACTAGAGAAAACTAGAAGAAAAATCGATACAGTAGAGCATTACCATGACTGGTATACTGTATGTGATATTAAAGAAATTACAGCAATATAGAACAAAATATAGCGGTATGTATATGTATATGGTGAGCAAGAATATTTCACAAAACAGGGATACAAAAAAAATCTTTGAGGGTAAAAATGATCAAATACTAATGTATATGTCAATATAGTGTATATGTCCACAGCAGTAGTCCCATCAGCAACAACACAGTATGTCACACTCACTACTCTAACTATTTCCAGTTGCTTTCATTTTGCAGTTTTTATTGAATAACTTTAATAATTTTTCTATATTGCCATACATTTAATTGTATATCAAGATGCACATTATGCATACTGTGATATTATACATTTTACCGAAGACCGTTGTCCGTTGATGGCCAGACAAAAACTCTGTTTTTAGCAAATCCAGTGAATGTAATATGTGAAGATATATATTATATAAATATAAAGAAATGTAGAAAATATTGCCCAAAATATGTCCTGATCATTAATTAACATTATTGCCAACAATGGGAATTAATAAGGAATTTGTGAGGGCTGACCGAGTTATACTGTCTCATAGTAGCGTCATAAAAGTCACTCTTTAGCCTTTTATTAGCAGTAGCTTTACACCAATCAAAAGAATGGCAGAGTAGAAGGGACTGGAAGTCCTTAGTGAATTAAAACAGTATTTCTTCTAATAAGTGAAATGCTAGAGTGATGTGAAAATGTCTATTAAGCTGAGTTTACCATAAGCTTCTATAGTACACATAATAGTTATTTTGTGTCTTAGGAACATCCATTTATTTGTTTATAATAGCCACTTGGCCATCGTTTTAATGCTGGTTTTTATTTGAGAGTTTACGGCACACAACTCAAAATATTTTCTCATGATTAACATTTTTGGACAAAAACAGCACTAGTAAACTTTTTTTCAGTACAATTGGGATGGTGAAGTTGTATGTTCTGTCAAATGGTTGTTAGATTGGGACTGCAATGGGAACTTAACATACAATAACTCTGTGTTTCCTCTGATGGTGGAGCAGCACTCTCCTCAGGACAAAGCAAAGATGGAGATGGTGCGAGTGAGGAAGGTTAGCATGCTCCTGAGCCGGTGCTCCTGCTGACTCACCATCCTCATCCCGTCATCAATTACACATGAAGAGACTTTTAATTTGCTTGTCTGTTGATTGCCAGTGCTATTCTCAAGTGTAGAGACACCAAGTGCTTTAATCTCTTGATTTCTTCATGATTTCTAGTGGTGAGGTTGCAGATTGCAACCAACTGAAACTTATCCTGTGTGCCAAGCGTGTAGTAGAGCTACAGTGGCTGACGGAAAAACAGGAAAATAGGAATGTCCCTCTGGTTTGTCCTTTCTGGGCTACTGTAGAAACACGGCAGCCCCCTTTGTAGATATTAACGGCTCATTCTAAGGTAACGAAAACACAATGATTCCAATGTTCAGGAGATTATACACTAAAGACAACATAATAAATAATATTCCACTTCCGTCAATAGAGCACCCTAAATGTTACACACTTTTCCTTTAAGTCACTGTCATTCCCTGCAGCTTTCTGACAAATAAAGTGTTTTTCTTGTATATAACATGGTTTGTACTTCTCCAGAAGCAAACATGCTTGTTAACAAAATAATGTTTGGTTGTTACAAGCTTTTGCTGATTGAATCAGTCCCTCCAGGATTTTGCTGAAATTTCTGTGACAGGAGAAATGCTTGATTTTACAGCGGCTTTTTGTTTTCATCAAAGCCGCTCATAAGTCATGGTGGGACATGATGTAAACATATTCGATAGCAATGTGTGAGAGTCTGGCAATAATACAATTATTTTTAACATTAACCCATAGTATAAAGCAATAGTATAGGGAGGAGTAGGTTATTTGGCTATATTTTCTCATTTTGACCACAGTATGTACTGAACAGGACATTTTACAGTTGAAGTTGTATCTGCTAGAGTATTAGGGCCAAACGTCATAATGTTATGAGAATTAAGCCAGAACAGTACAACAAAAGTTGTGATATTTTAAGAATAAAGTCATAATTTTATGCAAAACTATGACAGTGTTTATTTAATTCCCCATCATAATAAACAGATGTGTGACACACAGATGTGTTTACATCTGGTATGTGCTCACCAATAAACTCTTTATTACCATAGATGTTAGGATACTGAAATGAAATGAAACCAATGACATCTCCAGACACAATTAAGCCATGTTTACAGTATCAGAAGAGGATAACTCAGAAGACTGTGGACATACAAACACGGGGGTTAGTATGTGATGGGTTGGTGAATAATTCACCATATCAGGTGATGATTTTCAGGTTTACTGAAAATAGTAACGAGTGAATGTTGCTATTTAACGTGCAAATTCCTGGAGTGACAAGCAGACGGCAACATGGTCCTTGTCCTGTACTCTGCACTGCAGCAGCCTTAGCATGCATAGCATGTGACTTCACTCACATCAGCGAATGTGTGTCTGCCTGGTGTCTCACACACACCACTGGTGTGCAGCTGAATCCCTCACCATTCCCTGAGCTGAGCAGCCTGGGAACTGCAACCCCATAGCTCTTATATTTTTACATTTGATGTGATTCATGTCATCACCATGGTCAGTGCTGCACATTGAATTCCATTGCAAATCAAATACTAAAATGTTTGAATTAATCCTGAATTATTTCCAACCAGCTCTTCCTTTTTTCCTGATTTTCCACAGAAAAGAGCAAAGAAACTTGAGGGTGAAACTATTTATATCAGACATAGCAATTTAATGTTGGAGGTTTGTATCTTCAGTCTTCAGATATCTGTTCTGACTGTTTGCCGTCACGTTTTTATGCCTGCATGGGTGCTGTTGATTTTCTGTTTGTTTCTCTTCATTTCTTGTCTTGTTTGTAGCTTAACCCTAAAGGCTTGGCATGCACTATTTTCCTCTCCGATTCTCATGCAAGTAGCTTCACTTCACTTTGACATTGTCTTTGTCATTTCATATTTTCATTGTGTGAATTATATGATTGGGAAAGGTATGTTAACGTTTAAACTGGTACTGCAGCTTTGCCGTTGGTGCCGAAACAAACAACACATCAGTGAAATTGTCTGAGATGTGAGTTATGATATTGTCGGGGCTCACAATACACTTGCTGTTAGCACTAAAACTGAGAGCAGGACTTAAAGCAATCAAAATGAGCTATTTCTTTTCTCCTAGTCTAGTGCTATTGATTAGTCACTGTATGAAACGATGTGAAGTGAAACCCTGACTTTAACAAAAGCTATGAATCTAACCTTAAACAACGGAGCTTGACCATGTTTTGCTGGTCCTGTATCAGCCACAAAGTAGTTTCAGTACCTGGTCTGCTGCTCTGCCACCATGTATGGATCCTTTTCAGGGCCGACATTCGGTCTTGTCAAAGCAGGAAAAGCACAAGTGTAGATAACGTGAGGGCTCCATTACATTAGGTGTCTCAGTAAGCCCTGTCAGTGAGTTTGCATCCTGGAACTGGCTCATCTAAATGGAATGCAGCCATCATTCATTCTGCATGTGCTTTGAGTCAAATGTCTGAAAAGGATCTAATGACAGAGACGATTAGAAAACAAACTATTTTCTTCTTTCCTACTCATGTATGTCTCAGTGATGTCACTAACAGATTGTGGACACTGATGTTTATCATTGGTCCACATTAACATTCATTTGATTGTCTTCATGAACATACGTAACTACCTGTGTTGACTGTGAGTCTATTACTGTGATCACTGTGCCTCTCTGTGCTGGTGTTGAACATTTCAGAGAGTGATGACATTTTGACGGCTTGGGAACGTATGATAGTGAAGTCCTGTTGTGACGCTGCATTAATTAATAGATGTTCTATGGAATCAAAGGGCAACATGAAGTGTAAAACCGGTCCCTGAATGTGACAAACCTACAGGGATTATTGTTAATATTATTAGCAGTCTGCAGCTCCACAGAGCAGCTCCTAGTTTGGTTTTCACAACTAAACTACAGCTGGATTCTGGTACAACCTCAGCCTGCTACTTCTGTGACACGTCACCTCCCTCTTCTCAAACTCATCCGGCCTACCACTTATAAAGCAGTCTTTTAAATAGTTTCATTACTACTTGGCGTCAGACTGTTTCACATGATTAAAACAACAGTTGGACATTTGAGCTTGATATCCATCAAACTGAAGAGCAGATCAGTTTCATGTGTGTCGAGTATTGAGATACTGTGTCTCCAGCAGCTCCAGGACATGTTCAGCCTAGCTTAGCTTCAGAGCATTTAATCATTGTTAAGCTTTTTGATCATTAACGAAAGCATAAGAATGCATTAAGGATTATGATTCCCTGAGGTAAAAAAGAGCAAGTCTGCACACTGAATGTAAACATCCAACGTTTTATCTTCACGATCTACTCCAGGTCAACATCCATGTGAATAAAAATTAGGCTGTGTACAGTGCCCTCAGAGTTGTTGGCACTCTTAAGTATAAATTAGCAAAGCGAGATGTGGTAATATGTCTCCAGTCCTCATGAACTTTCATTCAAAATATTCGCAAAAATCATACTTTTAATTCAAGTAACATAACTGAAAGAAACATTCGAACATCCTTATCAAAAATCATGATATTATCATATGTGTGCCACAATTATTGCAACCTCTCTTTATCAAGATCACATCTCCTATGACACATGATGAGGTTGGTGAACACATGAAACAGGATCTGAGACCATCCCTTCATCAGAATCTCCTCAGATCCTTCATATTTAGAGGTTGACGCTTGTGGACCCTCTTCAGCTTGTCCCACACATTATCTGTGGGGACTGTGATGGCCTTGCGGTCAATGAGCCATTTCAGTCAGTGTCCACCACGAACAGGGATCCTATTTGACTTTACATTGTCATTGTTTCCATGCTGAGCGACACGAAATAAATGGACAATTGGTTTCCATGAAACCAACAGATGACTATTTCACAACCTGCCGTGATACTGGGCTGTTCTCTGTCCATGCCTACCACCACACTTCACAGTGGGCCTGAGGTGCTTCTTTATACGGCTACATCTTTCTGTCTACCCCAAACCCACCTCTGATGTTTTGCCAAAAAGCTCTATTTTGGTCTCATCTGACCACATAACCCGGTCCCACTGAAAGTACCAGCAACATTTAGTAAACTGTAGCTTTAGTTTGTTGTTGATTGACAGCTAACCCTCCCATGACAGCAGTTTTGGTGACTTTCTGACTCAATTAATCCCTGCAATTCTCCAGCTGCCATCCTTGGAGATTCTTTTGCATATCCTGTTGCTTTAAACGTTGTCATTATTGCCTTGATAGTGATAGTGGAAAATTTTCAACAGTTAGGAGATTTGCTTAAATCCATTTCCTGATTTGGGCAGCTCATCAACTTTTTATCTCACATGCTCACTGTGTTCCCAGATCTTTCACATAAGATGAATGACTGAGGGAATCTGGCCTGTGTCACCTCATATTTAGACCTCAATGAAACAGGAAGTCATGGTTGACCACTGAAGAGTTCCTTATTAAACAGGTCAACTTACAGGTGAAAAATACGACTAAAGATACTTCGGTTGATTTTAATCATAGGCTTTACTAATGGGTAAATTAGTACCCATTGTGCAATACTTGTGCAAAAGTACATTCTTGACATTGGAAACAGCAGGAAAAAATGTATACAATGTTGTGATTATACATAAATAGCTTTAGCCTCATCATTTCATGCACCTTTTTAAGACATTTTTGAGAGCTTGCAATATTCAGTGTACGGACTACGTCTCCTTTTCCTTTATATGCTGCTTTCGTCCTGCAGCCAACTGAAGTTGGATGTGCACAACATTCACCTTCCTCGCTTTCGTTAGGTCAACATGAAAAACCTGCTCACCATATGCAGGTTTTTCAGAGAAACACGACACCCTGTCATTCAACATGTCTTCTTGCTGGCATTGTTGAAAGCCATAATATGTGAGCCAGTGAGCTGGTGCCTTCTTAGTAACCAGTAATCATCCTCTGCTGCTTTATTTCTCTTATCATGACCCAGACCAGGGAGATTTAGAAATGGCTGTAAACTCTGCTGCTGGGCTGAAATATTGGATCACAGATCACAAGAGATGGATGATGACTCCTGGTGTCTAGTTTGTCTCAATGATATCTTCCTCCATCACTTCAGCATGTCATTGAGAATAGGCAGGCTCAATCCTAGTACAAAACAAAGCCATGTCGTCAACGTATTGAAAGGGTGGGAGATAGTTCTTAAAACTTCATTTTCCAATCTCTGTGATTCATCATTATTTTGTCTATTTGTCCTCTTTCTTTAACTATGTACAGTAGATGTTTTTCACTTCCTTTTCCCACCGCTGTTCTTTCACATCTTATTCATTCTTTTGTTTCATCATACTACTCATTGCTTCCCTTCCATCTACCTATTCTGATTTTTACATTCTTGTTGAAGGACCTGGATAAGACCCAGACTGGGATCATGCGACACCACACTAGCATCAGTGAGCTGAAGAGGAGTTTCATGGAGTCGGTGCCGGAGCCTCGGCCCAGTGAGTGGGACAAGCGTCTGTCCACCAACTCGCCTTTCCGCACAGCGAGCATCAACGGCCAGCTGCAACCAGCGGTAAGTCCAGCAACCTGGGGAGCAAAGACACTGCAGCAGTACTGATTACAGTAGACATCATTTCATGCAATGTGTCAGTCAGATCATACATACTGTATAGACTCTTTGACTAGAGATCCAACTGTCATTAGTCTCATCTGACTCTTGGTAACATGTCAAACAAGAGGGTTTTTCTAAAATATCACACTGACCCTTTAAACCACAGTCTCCATTCAGTAAAGGCAGCGCAGTGAACCTGAACCAACTCTTGGTTTACACATGTGCTAGCCAACTCACTAGCAGCTTATTCACTAGTTATAGTAGCTTGAGCTTGGACACGGGGACACCGGGCCTGATTATTAGACATCAACTCCACAGTAGGAGATAGTGCCAGTTTATGGCACTTGTTTGTATTTTGATAACATCCGCACAGATCCCTCCAACGGTCATATAGTAGCAGGAAGAAATACATTTAACACCTGCTATTAGTGTGTGTTTTCAAATCGTTCATATGCCAATTAAATACTGTGTTATATTAATTAAAGATAGAATGCTCTATGCATATTCCAGAGGAGTATAAAGATATATTCTGGGACTCCCCTAAACTGTTTGCACAGTTTAATTCATGCTCACAGTTAAACGGAGCTAATCTGTAAACTTCAGTTCGTCATTTGTTACTTTGGTTTAGTAATCTGTGCTCACAGATTTTCTCCCCTTTCTTTTCTTTACAAAGAGAAGTCCCGGTGGCCGGAACATCCCATTTGTTTTAAGAGAAAGTCTGCTGATTTTTACTGAGTGGCTCGATCTGTATAATGTGAACCGTAAATTAAACAGTTAATTGGTTAAATTGATCCATACAATTTTATATTTTCCATGATTTTATCATTTCTTAGACAATAACATGTCCACCCTAGAGATACCAATCTAAATACAGTGCCTTCAAAGCAGTGCTGGTAAATGATCCTCGATGTACCTTTAAGAGATAATGGTGAGCTCTATGACTCATTACATTACATTCTCAGATGCTTTTGCCCAAAGCCATGAATGCAATGAGTGCATTCAACTCAATTGGAACAATAATTATTATTAAAACAAACAACCCCTTTTGCCCAGAGCCCCAGGAAGCAACCCGTATTTGTGAGCTGAAACACCGCAGCCCCCTATAGGTTTACTGTGGGTCTGTAAGATGTTTGTGAACATTTGATTAAAGCCCCTCAACAAGTCAATTACATGGCTCAAAAGTCATTTTACAAGAGGCCTTTTCATGGAAGATATTTTATATGTCACAGGAAAAGCCAAGGTATAAATAATCAAATCAATGAATTCCATTCAGCTGCTTCATTTCCAGGGTCCTGCTATCGTGCATGCTGCCTTACTGTCACCCTGTCATGACTTACTGGGACACTTGAATAGAACAGAGACATTTTAAATGTTATTAGCACCTGTGCTTTTCTTACCATGACAAGTGAAAACGTCTGCTGTGAAAAAAGCCAAGCTGTTCACCGAAGCTCCACACAAACAGATGTTGACATCTGGGGAGAAGGCCTTTAATCACACATGTATAATAGACACTATGTAACCATAGTATCAAATGAAATATCAAGGTATTTCAATTTGAACCCAGGGTCCTTCTATAAGACAGGACCCCAAGATTTGTTAAAGTGCATATTACACTCAAGGTCTGGGGCCTTGCTTGCTTTGTAGGAGTCATACTGTATATTCTATTATATGTATATATCCACTATTTTAAATCTTCATTTTTCTATGGGAGGATTTTATTGACAAGACACATACAAATGTGTAGCAACGGACATAAACATATTGATGTTGTCCATGAAGAATACTGCAGGTGTCCACAATGCACTTCATCATCTAGAACGACACTGATCCTCCACTGGGGAGTGCTGTTGGCTTTCTCCATATCATTCCACTGCTTGAGCATGACTGTAACTGCAGTTACAGAGGAACAAGACACTTTCACAGAATTTGCTGCTGAGAAGATGGCATGTGTGTGTATATGTGTGTGCAGGGGACGATGTCCACAGTACCTGTGTACAGAGTAGTTGGTGGCGTGTATGAGGTAAACTTGATTGTGCAGCTTTCTGTCAGGCTGCTGTAGATCAACACTGTCCAGCGTTTCTTTGAGCAATAAGAAATGGCACCTGGAGGCCGTGGCCAGCTGTTACCGAGCAGCTCTCTAACTTCACCAGATTGGGCTTGGCTACATCCCAAAGGGTTCAGTATGCTTCAAACCAACGAGTTTACATAGTGTTGTCAGAACATATCTAAAGGCATACTTGTTCTCGGATGGCAACACTTTCACATTCCACGGTGTAAAGCTTTCAGGCACAGAGAGGGACAAGATGTGATGAAACGTACAAATGGGGACACTTTGGGACGTTTGTGTTGTACTCGGCTGTTTACATGAAAAGTGACGGAAATAGTTGTGTGAGAATTGAAAAAAGAGCTTGTAATGAATTCAAAATTGATTACTGATTCACTTTGTGAAGTGAGCGGATTGTCAGTTTGGATGCACAAAGACAGCATCAGAAAGGTGTTTTAGCACTGTTCAACCATCTGACAACCACTTTGTTTGAAGCATACTGGCACCTTGTGTCCTGGATCCCATCCCCTTTGACCCTAACATCGCCACCTTCGCTCTATGAATGGCTGCTGCAAGCTTTGTCATCTTGCTTGATCTGCCAATGGCTGGATTAATCATGCTATGTATTTGCATGACATGATCAGTGAAATACTGATGAGCAAAAGAACACAAGAAAACTAAAGCTAAAAAACAATGATTAGTGGCCAGAGAACTGACCCTCCTCCTCCCCTCCTCCTCCTCATCTGTCTCACCCTCCAATCCTCCCTCTATCTATCCATCCCTGGATGTCTTTATGTGTTATTCTGTGTCTCTGTCTTGTACCTCTGCCACCCCTGTCCTCATCTTCTTTCCCTTCCCCGTTAAAGTCTGGGCCGGTTTCTCCAGTCAAATCCCCACCAACTCCATCCTCTTCCCCACAACCCTCCTGCGTGTTCAGACAATGACACTGAAGGTCAGAGTGGATCTCAGACCTCTGATCTGCTGGTGTTTCCCTCTGGCTCTCGGCTGTCCTCTACCCACAACTTAAAGGCACAGTTTCTATTCCAGACATGAGGTCCTGCACAATAATCACATATTCATTTTAGATACTCAAGAATCCAGCCATAACAGCAATTTTTTGCTGAAAGCCTAAGGCATCATTTTAGTAATTTTACATTATTGCTGCACGCTAGGAATTAGGATGACATAAAATGGAAGAATAGAAAGAGTCTCCATTGCATCATCATCCACCGGTTTCTTCCAGATTTTCCCTAAGCTGTTAGATTCTTACAGGGCTAAACACAGATCTTGCCTTGTGTGCAGTACCACATCACCCCTATTGTGAGCAGTGCACAATTACCTTAATTGAAACGTGTTTCATGGCAAGCGCTTCCAGAGTTCCTGTCATCTGAGATGCCAAGATAATTGACAGCCTGTTGGTGCATTCTAAAGGTTTTTCTGTGTTTCTTCCTTCCTTTTGCCATTTAAGACTTTGCATTGCCAAAATGCCATGCACTAGCTATTTAGCAATTTAGCTATTTAGCTGGCAGGGAGAGCCTTTCCTATTCCCATCATTGAGCAGATTTATGTATTAACCCTCAGTGCGCTCTCTTCCCCTCCTTCCTTCCTTCCTTCCTTCCTTCCTTCCTTCCCCTTGTGACGCTGCTGCTCTGTTAAAGGTGCAGCCTGATTAGAGCCCTTCTGTCATCTTTTTACAAACTATGGAATCCTGTCAGAGTAACTACTGATTGGGTTTGAATGTTTAATGAACATTTGATATCCTGTGTTTTCAGCTATGTTGCCAATAATACATCAGTTAATAGTCCTCCATCTGCAAATATTCTCTTGCTTATTAACAGTAGAAATATTATGAATAAATTCTTAAAATACCAATAGTAATCCATGCTTCACTAAGCCCCACTCCCCTTAGTTACTGTTGCTACCTCTGTCAAGCTCTCCATTCTAGCGCTGCTTGTACGCCGTTTACAAAGATAACATGCAGATTCGCCACTTCTAGCAGTTGCGTTCTTGATTTCACACAGAGGTAGGCCAAAGTAGGTTTCTCATTTTTAGTCATGACTATAGATTTTGCCGCCGGAAAAGACAAGTATAGGTATTAGATGTTACTAGTTATCAGCTCTAGTGAGCTACCTAATTAACTTTAACTGTGAGTTTGTTTAAAAAAGCCACCTTCAGGAGGCCTTTAAATGTTCTTTGGCTGACTCAAAAATCAAAATGAGAACCCTGCAAAAGGTTCTTCAATATGCATTTGATGTTCACGGTATGCCAACTCAGTGCCATGTGATGATGCAAAATATCAAATGGAACCACCTGTAGCCACTGCAACTTTGCTTGAATCTGTATTGCCTGTACATTGCAGTGCCTTGAAGCTGTTGAATGCATTCAAATTTTCCAATTCTAGAAAATGCATCCTTCAGGCAAATTGGATGGCATCATTGTAACACAGCTAACAATCTAACTGTTGACGACTAAACACAATTCATATACAGCAACCAGCTATAACTAACCGTTGGCTACCTAACTGGCTAGTAACAGAATATCTCTGCTAAAACACTCCAGCTCACAGGATCATTTCTCTTATGTGTTATGGTAATCTTTTTGCAAAAGAGTCAAGAAAAGGCGATTTTCTTCTTTAGTGATACCATCCAACAAGAGCAGAGATACTACAACGAAAATGCATAAAGGTGAGGTTTGAAAACAACCTGCTGCATGTAAAAAAAAAACCTATAGCCAGAGTTATCTGGGCCTGTAGTCGTAGAAACTTAAAAGGATAAGTTCAGTTTCTTACAATTACTAACTCAACAAGTGAAATGGTGAGACCTACGAAAAGGGCAACATCACTAAAATGAAGTCTAAAGCTGAAAACACACTGCCGCCTTAGCACCATCGTGCTGTGCTGCAGCTTGTCAACAGAAGACCATACTCAGCGCAGGAAATACCATGCCAAACGCATGGTATTTAACTTTATTAATAACAGTCAAAAAGACAATAAAATGGCATGGGTGAGTTACCTATTCTACAAATGTATAAATGTATAATCTGAGCAGTAAGATCATGTTTTGAAAGCAGCAGATCAACCAACATACTTGGTGGGCTACCATATACCAATTTCACTATTTGTTTTCCGACATATAGCCTAAACTTAAACTATGATAACCATCTTATTCCAAAGCTTCTACGGCAGCCTGGATCTACAAGCAGGGAACAAGTGGGTTTTTTCAGGGCTGGTGAGGCTGGAAACAAGCCAGCGGCATTATTAATGCCGCAGGGTGGTGTGGGGGGGTCATACATAGAAAATAATAGCAGTAGCTGTTTTGACACGCTGTTCGGCGGTGGTGTATTTTGGCTTTAACAAGTCAAGAAATACAAGCTGTCGGATGACCAGACAGGTTGGAAATAAGCATTTGAGTTTGATCTTACTTAGATTAAGGCTTCCCAAACTTGTCTGTTCATGTTTTTCTGTCAGACAACACTGTCGCGGATTTTAGTTATAGACCCAAATGCAGATAGACTAGGGAAGTAGATTTACGTGACGAGGTATTTTCAGGGATATTAGGTGGTGATAATGTCAGGGGTCATATGGAGCAGCGGAGACTGAGGGTAAGAGGGCGATGGTGGGTGATTAAGCAGAACAGGCAAAGTGAAGGGTGAGCGTGGCAGTTGTGGGAGGAGCTGGTGAGACAGGCTGGTAAACCGGAGGAGATGATCCTGGAGGCACAGGGAGAACAGGTAAATACAGGCAAGGGATAATAGTAGGAATGAACTCAGAATACACTGAGCGGCCCAGAATGACTAAACTACCACTGTGGTTGCAACAAGGATCTGATGATGAGTGGATGGAAAGCCGGGGTAGATATACTGCTGAGTTGATAAGATGGCAGTTGGGCAGACTGGACAGGTGATGTTAATGAGCCGTAATCAAGAGGGAGCCGGGAGGAGAAAAGGTAGGAGCCACGCCCACACCACACACAGAGACAGACTGAGGAAATACAAGGGACACAGGGGTAGAGGGAAACACAAGAGGCACGACCTGGCCGTGATAAACACCACAAACAATTTAATTTTGAGGTTGTGGGACATCTTGCAAAACCATGTTCCCTCTATGCTACATACCCCCCAGAGCCTCCCTTTCATGTACCTTCCCTACAACATCCTCTTCCTCCATGCCCTCATCCTTCTGTCAGTTGACCATATCCCACTTGTCTGTTCATTGTTATCTGTCTCTCTTGGTCTGCCGCTGCTGAGCACAGCGAGGGAGGCAGACTCTGTTTGGACACAAGGTAAGAGCATGTAGTTTGTCCCCAGCGCCAGTGGGACCACCGGCGTACAGACATGGCTGCCTGCTGGAAGACTATGAGGACAGTGAGGTTGGTTGGGTTGATGATGAGGAGGAAGAGGATGAAGAACAAGCTCATGGTCACGCACTAAAGGTGGCTATCAATGTGCCAGATGAGGGGAGGAGCTTGGTTAACCCAAGTGAGCTAAACCCAGCCAGGCTCAAGCATTCCCGGATGTCTTTCTTTCTGTCAGGGCTGCTGGTGATGGCCCTGACCATGCTGTGGCTAGCCTTCATTTAAAAAGACATAAATATGGAGATCCCTCAACATTTAATCCTGCAAGGTGCTTCATTCATGTACTGTTTTGTCCCTCCATGTGTTCTATACTTCCCATGCTCCTCAGTTAAGCTTAAAATGGCAAGACTCCCAAGAAATGTTTGTCTTTAAAGCGAGCCCATGTACCTTTTGCTGAACTGTGGCTACAAGTGGCAATTGGCCCTTGCTAAGCTCCGTCCCAGCTTAGTTACTGTTGCTAAGCCTATCAAGCTTTCTACATTGATAATGGTGGCAGATTTATCAGTGACAATTTGTGGTCATTTTTGAGACAGCGGGTCCATTACGACTTGCAAAATAGTCCATTTTAACCAAAACCATTGATTGACTGAAATAACTCTCCCACACAGCTAGCCTACTAATTAACTTTACCCGAGGTGGTTAGGATTGAGTCTACTGCTGACTTCTATTTGACCAAGAATACCAACATACACAATACTTATCATGCTATAATCCTGAGGCTAAAGCTACACAACCCAGGCAAAAAGTCAGTGTCGTAACCAGTCATTGAACTTAATGACCATGTAAAAGACAAATGACTTTCCTTGCTGTTATGGGATAGCTAGTTGCCATAGCAATTCCGTACAGCATGATAGGTTCAAATAAACAAAGTTGCTCCAACATAACCCTGTTCAGATGCTTGCTAGAGAAGAAGGTATTGGACAAGCAACAGAGGTTTGATTTATGTTACAAGAGGAAAGGCTTTTGGAGGTGGAAATTATGAATCACTTGGCTGGTTTGACTCGTTTTGTTCAGGTCGGTTTAAAAATTCGTAGTGACTGACCGTATAGTTTGTTCACTTTTTTCCTAAACTAAAGTTTATACTCGGCGTAGTGAAGCACACGCCAGAAAATGCCGCCTGTAGGCTTCGTAAGTGATCGTGGCGCTTGGTCGTGCACCTCTGAATTTTTCTAATTCAGCGCGACTGTCAGAAATAGTTCAGATAATAGTTTACGTGTCGAGAACTTATACAAAGACCAATTCATTTTTAAATGCTTTAGAAACAGGAGGTCTTAAAAATCTTCATTTGAGTAAATATTTTGCAGCAAAATCTACACAGGATATTCAGCCTTTGTTTCTTTTTAATGCATGCAATACTTTACTTTTATTCTTTACAGGGCTTGTAAAGAATAAAAGTAAAGTATTGCTAAGGCAATACAGCAAGTTATGAATATGAGATATGAGTTTACAGATAATTTCAATCCCTCCTTAGCATTGTGTAGGTTGGTTTATGGCTTTTGACAGTTACATCTACAGTCTATGGGCATATCTCTGGGTTACACACTTGTTTTTCTCAGTTCATTTTGTTTGTATGCCCTCTGGCATTTTGGAGAATGCAGCGCACAGCTCAGAGTATAAACACCTCCGTTGATGCTTGGAGCTTGCGCGCCGTATGTGGAAGATCGTGCTACGACGCCAAGCAAGAGCATAAACAAGGCTAAGTGGTCTGTCCAAATGCACCTCGGTATGCATTACTGCTCATACCGCTGCAACACTTTGCACTGATTCTGACTACCTTTAGTTAAATAGTACATAGCTTTCACAGTCTTTTAGTGAGCTTTTAACAAAGTAGAAACGTACCTTCAATAGTCACCTGTGAGGGGAGCACTACTTTGTTAATAGAGATTAATTTGTTCATGTACTGAATACATCCAGAGTATCTGGGAATGAGGACTAACCATATGAAACACAATCTTGGGTAACAAGCTTTGATGGGGTCACTGGAGTGTAAACTTCTTAAATCCAATAAACAGCAGGACGGAGACAGAGAGATACCATTGCATCCGGAACCAGCTCTCACATGGATTGTTCCGGTTGTGAAGAGGGTTTTTCGTCACTAAATACAGAAGTATATTTTGAAAAGACACTATGACTGTAACGAGTGAAAACTCACACCGTCCCTGCTACATCCAAAACTGACGCTAGAGGGGGATCTAAAGCCTCATAGTTTGAAGAGTAGGACCACTGACCAAGCGTCGCAATTTGACGAGTTGGGAGTGAGAGCGTGTTGCTTGATCATGTGGAGAAGGTTAACAGACCTGCCATGCCTAGTTATGGTTGCTTAGCTACAGTTGGACTATTACCATTTTGGCGAGGCTTTTAGCAAAAGGCCAATAAGATGATAAGAAGACAATGCTAAAATACTAAAGATACATAATACATAGAAGTCAGTAAAATCACTTGTGTCAATGTCCAGCCCTTTCTCCTAACATTACTTTCCCATGCAACTAAAGTGCATCATCATTTTTTCCGCCCACATTACATTTGTTTTTGTTGCATCTATGGAGCTACGCCGGTCAAAATTCCACAACCAATACAATGGCAGATTTAGCATTGATCAATGAAATGATCCCTGCCTTGGTGCGGTCGTGATCACTTTACTGGAGGGTCCCTGACGGGCAGTTACTCTTCAACCTGGTTCATCCATTTCCACCCACAAAGGCTTTATTATATTTCCTTACCTCTTTAGCAATCCACAAAACTGTTATACATACGTTTATTTATATATACACATCAGAGCGCTGCCCATACTCCTTTATCTTTCTGTAATAGCTACACCGGTCTCCTGTCGGTGTGCTGGAGGTGAGGGAACAGTGGAGAAAGTTACAGATAGTGGCACGGGAAATCTTACCCTCTACATATGCTAATGATAATCAGTTAATGCCAGTAGGAAGTGGTGGTAGTCACCACTACTAATACTACAATAGTCAACAGGAATACCACTAACAATCAATGACGTTATACGTTGTCTTGAATCAAAGCGTAATTGAGAATGTAGTTTAGTCGTATGGGAACATTCTAACAGGGTTGGAATGTTTAAATTACAGCAGTATCTACCTGTGTTTTATTAATGTTAGCCAACATTAGCCACAATAAGTTACTGGTCATACAAAAGCAAGTAAAACTGTAACAGCAATAAGTGAAGTGAAATAAGACCTTTTATTTGCAAGAGAACAAAGTGATATTTCTAACGTCAAAAGTTACATTGTCTCGCTTAAAGATGTCAGTAACAGAGCATTTTTTCTGTGTTCTCGTATATGAAACATGATCATACATCCTTCATGTTTCCACCCTGCAGGAAAAGGAAAGGTAGTTGTTACTAATAACTTTCATTTTGTGCTTGTCTTTTACATATTTTCTCCTTAAGAGTTAGTATCTCTGCTGTCGAGTAGATTTGCAGTAGCTGTACTACTACAGCAATGTAGTATGTTGCATGTTCAATTTAAGAAAATAGTATACTCACTTTGGACATTTGCAGCCCCAGAACAACATTCAGCTATGTGGCAAAAGTCAATAAACATCAACAGTCAGACAGTTGTCCAAAGCTCTCAGACTGTGTGCAGTTAAGCAGAGTGCTGTTATGACTGACATGCTTTAACCCCGTGTTAATGATGGACCAAGTACCGGCAGACAATCAGGCCAAGTGTAAGTTAAGAATCATTAGTGAAGAAAAGGAATAACTCAGGAATGCATCACAGCATTTTTATACTTTTTACAGTAACATGTAGAGGATTAAATATTGATTCTGACTTTTTGATGTAATGCTCGGAGGATAAAACAACAATGTCAGAACGTGATAAAGCTATAGATCCAGGCAGAGTCATTCTTTTTGTTGTCTTCCAGAAGATAAGAACAGTGGACATGAGGGACATTTGTGTTGCTGACTGTAGTTTCTTAATTACTGAGCTATCTCAATCTTTGAAGGTTACTGATTTTGGGAGTTCAGCACAATTGTAACAGAACAATTGTAATTCTGACAAATTCAGGAGATGTTGTGAGCCAGGAGAATTGTTGGTTGCATGACTGCTGAAGGTGTTTTCTGTATGCTTAGCTACAATATGCAACTTTTCTCTGTTAGACAGACTATAGGCTTTTTAAATCCTGCCCAAAGACTCGTGACTCATCATGGACAACACAATTTCGGACTCTTCATTCATTAAAATGAAATTATGGTTATCAGCGGATCCCAAGTAAATCCCTGCGGAGCTCAACTTTGGTGATCTTTGGCATGCAGATTTGCATACAGTATTGACAGGACTGTTCTTCAAGGGAACAGTGGTCACCTTTGCGTTATTCACACAAAGTGGACCGCTGGACAATTTGTGCCGTTTGTGTTTATTCACCCTAAACAGCGACGTAGCGATGGTCCAGGTATGGCTGTAGCTTGCTCAGAATTAGGCTAAACACAGAACTCATCAGGAACTCCTTCTTGTTTTTCCTTTCATCTCTGTATGTTCATGATGTAGATTCTGAAAGACCCAGGATAATTGACACATTGTCCACTTAGCGCCTCCGGGTTACTTTAAATGCACTTTCTGTCTAAAATGTGCAAGATGTTCTGTGTGAACACTCCTTAATAACATAATAAAAGTGACCAGTGTAACCAGTGTAACCAGTGTAACCAGTGTAACCGTAACCTCACAAAATGCCAATCATTATTGTTGACCAAAAAGACATCCTGGAGCTAGATCTTTGTCTTAAAAGCCAGAAGAATGTTTGACACTGACATGAATGTCTTGATGCATAGTGACAAGAGGCAGTGAGATGGAGGTGCAACAATAGCAGTAGAATAACGACTTGACAATCACTTTCTTGCTGGCTTTATGGTTTTAATTTTGATTCTAATTTTGGCAAAAAATGAACAAACGATTCTTTTGCAACTTTGATTCTCACTGGGTCTACACTGGCACAAACTACCTCTAGGAAATAGCCATATTCTCGCTCTCTACTTTTATCAACTAACTGCCAGTCATCAACATGGAAGCATTACAGCCTTAAACAGTGTTACAAACCCAAGCGAGTACTTTCTGACAAACTGAAGCAGTGCAGGTGGTGACTGACATGCTGTACACTCTGCACATACGGTTCAGCACTCGGAGCCCGTATACTGCACAGGCCTGACTCAACTCAGCCGCTGCTGATCCAGCTCTCAAATATAGGTTCGCTGCCGTCAACACTTCCTGTACATGCCGAACTGCTGCCCTAATGCCAAAGAATATTGAAGACACAGAGCAGAATCATTCATGCACCAGAGTTTTCAGACAGTAGTCTCAGTGCCTGTTGGCCTGGTCGCCACCTTTTTTTTAGACTTTCTGATGCAGTTTGCTTTATAAATAAACAAATGTTTCCGTCTGTTTGTATTAAAGATTGTTTTAAAGAGTGATAGAAGTACTTTTAATCCCTCCATCAGGACATGTTTTATTTCTGCTACTATTTTGATTCATCCTAGGGATGAGCTGGTCGATTTTTGTTCTATTTACTGTAACAAAATCATAAACACGTATCATCAACACAATAACCACGGTAAGTAAAGTATAACACTTCTTGATTCCATGTGTTATCAGCTTTATGTAGCCGACAGCTTAATGTTCAGCTGTCCCAAGCGCGGTCGTAACACACCCTTCCTTGCCCCTGATGGCATCCCTGGCCGAGCTGGTGTGTTTAGATCAACTGACAGATGTCTTCACAGACATTTTCATCTACTCACTGCACCAATCTACAGTTCCCCCATGTCACAAAAAGTCCACCATTTCCTTCTGTCCCCAAAAAAACTAAAGCCCTCAGCCTGAATTACCACCGCCCAGTAGCACTTACCTCCACCATCATGAAGTGCTTTGAGCTGTTAGTCAAAACCTTCATCTTTATGTAGCCTACAGCTTAATGTTTTAGGATAATAATGAAGCATAAGCTTTACTTCCAGTTGTTACCAGCACATCCTGTTAGTGTGCCCTGATCTCTTGTGCCCTATGCAGCACAACATTTGAACTTGCTGACAATATTTAATGCAAGACAACACAAATGTGATATGAAACTCCATACTACCAATTCACAGGCTCTGTTTTAAACAATTAT